AAAGAAACAACCAAGAGGAACGATATCGTATTAAATATAAATTATATTTCTATGTGTATCCCAAATGATAAAACTACATATGAAAGAATAAGATAAAAGTGCCTGCCTAGCTATACATGAGATTACCAAAAGCATCAAGATCCTTGTGATAAACTACCATTTGGCAACCCCTCATGCAATGTGATAGTAAAAACAGAACATCAACCGTGTAGTCTTCTTTCTAAAAATGCTTAAGTTATTCATGGTAAATTTAAACAATCAGACAAGCCCAGACTGTGGGTATATACGGACAACTACCTGGATACAAGAATGCCCATATCTTGAAGAATTAAAAACAGGAAAATGTTATTCTAGAATTTAAAAGACTAAAGATTTATGATAAGTAAATACAATGCATGATAATGTAAACAAAAGAAGGCTACACAGAGCATTTTTAGAAAAACATGATATGGAAAATATCTTACATAGCAATACTGTAGAAATATTACATTCCTTTAAGTGCAATAATGCCAATGCCCTTGTTCTTCAGAATCTGAAGAAGTATTTAAAGCTAAAATATGGTAATGTCTAAAGGTTACTCCTAAATGGTTTGGCAAAAGTATATATGTATATATGAATGTATGAATATATGAATGTATGTACATAAGTTATGTATGTGTCTATAGTGTATATTCAGAAAAAAGAAAGAATTTATATGGTAAATTGTAAGAAACAGACTATAAATAAAAAATTTTAAACATATAAAAAAGTTTGTCTTTACAGCTATATATATTTTTTTGATAAATTAAAAGACAAATTCTGCATTCACATTTATGGCAGAATGTTTCTGAAAAATACAATAAACAAAATATGGTGTAGGTATTTTGTGAGCAAGATGGCTCAGCAGGTAATGGCTCTTACCCCCAAACCTGACAAAGATGTGAATTTGATTATGTGGACCTATGAAGTGAAAGGAGAAAACATGTTTCTTAATGTTGTCCACTAATCACCACAAATGAGCCATGGCACACATGCCCTCACACACATATGCACATACCCCTACCAAACACATACACACAAAAAAATAAAGAAATCAATGTAATCTAAAATACAGAATGGGACCAGGCATAACAGTTTACACTTTTACTCTCAGCACTTGGGAGACAGAGGCAGATATCTCTGTGAGATCGAAGCCAGCCTGGTCAACATAGTGAGTTTCAGGCTACCCAGGGCTACATAGAGAGACCATGTCTCAATGAAAAGGTGACTAAAAGAACTGAAAAAGAAATGCCATCTCGATATAAAAAAAACTGCTGTAACTGTATCAATAGCAAACAAAATAGATTTTAAGATTTAAGAAAAGGATCACAAAAAAATGATAAAAAAGATATATCCTATACTTTACTAGGAATATAGATTTATACAACAAAGTAATACATTTAACAGATATTTATAGATCCTTATGTATAACAGCTGGAATATACAAACCCTTTACAAACACACAAGAAACAATAATGATTATGTTCTCTAAGACATAAGGCAAATTCAACAAATATGAAACAATGTTTGTACTCTGAAATTAAATGTAAAATGAGAAAAGATAAAAAGATGCATAGATCCACACCTCAGTTTGTAAATACGCTCTCCCAGTAGTACAGTCAAATAGAGAAATGGTCAATGGGGTAGAAAATATAAGATGAGCCTGAAAGTAAGGAAGAAAAGAAATGTTAAAATAAATCGAAGTATCTGTCAAAGAATGGTGAACCTACTAGAGGATAGAGAAGTCAAATTGAATAAAATAATTATGATAGCAACAGGCTACTTATGAAATAACACAAAAATTTAGGTGTCTAAATATAATAAATAGATAAATGAAGAAAAAAGCTTTCTCTTCAAGTAGAATATAAACTAGTGAATTCACTAAAAATGATGGAGCTTGAAACATAGTTTTGTAGTCATAGTAAAAACATTTAGTCAAGAATAATCAACAGATGCAAGAACCACTAGAGGGCAATTTGATGAGAAACAGAAAAACTATAAAATCTCCAAGTAATCACAGCAAAATAATTGACTGCAAAGAGAAAACAACAGTTTAATCTAACAAAACCCCCAAAAACTTGACCAAGAAATCAATGTTGACAGATATATGCATCATAAGCAAGCTATGAATATGATAAGAGACAAAATTAAAGTGACTTCTGTCGTCTTCTTGCCAACATACATCATCAAAATATAAAAATAAGGATATGATTCATACACCTAAATTGAGGAGCCCTCTACAAAATAATTGTCTTATGTTTTGAAAAACTGTCAATGTCAACAAAGACAAAGAAGATTACAGAAACTGAAGAAATTTCCTGATCAAAGACTGGAAAGAGACACACACAAAAACTAAGTGTAATAGATCATCCCTGGATTGCAATTTCAGCCAAGAAAAGAAAACAGGTAATATATGTGAAAGTATTTATTCCAAGTAAACACGGTGAAGCATTAAGAAATAAAGCAGAAATGCAGCTGCAAATTTCTTTTAGGCAGCAGAATGAAAGAACAAATGAGGCAAAATATTAGTTGATAAATGTAGATAAAAGGCATGGAAAATTTTCTGTAATGTCCTAATAGTTTAACCGAGGACTTAAATAATCAATAAACATTCTAACCGTGATTTTTGTATTTAATGAAACAAAAAAGCTTTCAGTTTTTGTTTTGTTTATAGACAATGTGTCACTACATAACCCAGGCTGGCCTAACTCACTATGTAAACTAGACTGTCTTAAACTCAGAGATCCACCTGCTTCTGGATACTGGAATTAAATGTATGCACCACAGTAACTGGCAAGAAAAAATTTTAATATTACCAAACTATATCGAGATGTACAGCAAACAGATAAATTTCTTTTTTTGCTGAAAGAAGGATTAAAAATACTTTAAATTAGCGAAACTGAAATTTAATTAGTTTGGTTAATGGTTTCATAATAATTGTTTAAAAGAATGCATAAATAACTTGAAATTTAAAAAACAATAATAAGATGTCGTAGGCTAAGGCTGAAGAGATGATTCAGTGGTTTGGAGTACTTGTTGCTCTTGCAGAGAATGGGGTACAGTTTCCCAGCAACAACATGTCAGCTCACAGCCATCTGTAACTCTATTTTCTAGGGGATCTGACACTCTCTTCTGACATACATAGGGACCAGCCATACACATGGTACATACATAAGTACAGATGAAGCACCCATACATATGAAATGCCCAAATTAAAAAAAAAATCATTAGCGACATTAGAAAGTGATAATTTTTGAAGTATAATAACAAAATAATATATACAAACTTGCAAGATTCTTACAAACTTTAGAGAATTTTTTGTAGTTTTAACTTTTTATTTTAGAAAAGAATTATTAATGAGCTAGAGTCCAATCCACTCAATTAGAAAATGAACAAACAAAAGAACTAGAAGGAAAAGCAATATAGATAAAATAATGAAAAGATAAAGCAGGTCTGGAGAGATAGCTCCATAAGTAAACTGCTTGTTATGCAAACACAAAGCCCTAAATTCTGTCTCTAGCACCGAAATAAAAGCTGGGCACAGTGGCCAGGCTTGTCAGCACTCTGTCTTGTCAGAGGAGAAGACAGACCGATCACTTGAGCTCACTGGCCAGGCAGCCCATCCCCTGATCAGGTCTCAGTAATAGCTCTATTCTCAAAACAAAACAACAACAACAAAATACTCAATCTAACAAAAGACAAAGAGTAGATCTGCCCGGGAGGTGAGGGGTGTGTGGGGGGTGGAATGGTGGAAGGGGCTGGAGGTGCCTTTAACTCCAGGAACCAGAGGAAGGTGGATCTCTGTGAGTTCAAGGTCAGCCTCCTCTACAAAGTGAGTCCAGGACAGCCAAGGCTACACAGAGAAACCCTGTCTCAAAAAATAAGCAAACAAAAAAGTGGATGATTCCTCAAGACTAATACAGGAGGCTAATCTCTGCCCTGGCCACACTCCCAAATAATGTGAAAACCTTGTCAAAATAAAATAAGGAAATTCATTAAACTTATTGTAATTTATCACATTGTCATGTCATATGAATGAGGAAAATATGTTTATGCAAGTAGATTACAGACAAAATATTTGGTAGAAAAAAAAAACAAAAAACCTCCATATCCATTCACAATAAATCCTCTCTGCAAATCAGGAACACAAACCAATTTTCTGCCAGACTGTGGTGGTCCATGCCTTTAATCCCAGTACTCAGGAGGCAGAAGCAGGTAGTTCTTTCTCTGTGTCGAGGACAGCCTGGTCTACAGAGTGAGTCTGAGGACAGCCAGGGTTACAAACAGAAATCCTGTCTTGAAAAACCAAATAATAAAATAATAATAAAAAATTAAAAATAAACCTAATTAATTTTCTTGGACAAACTATAAACTTAAAAAAAATACATATTAGAAAACAAGGCAGTGCCATTAAAAAATAATTTTAAAGTAGCTCAAGATAATCTATAAATTACTTGAAAAAATAATTCAGAAAGGATGTATATTATAAAATTCATATAAAAGTACCAATTATTTTCCCCTTTACTAGCAACAATTAGAAAATGGGGGTTTTGGGCTGGAGAGATGGCTCAGAGGTTAAGAACACTGCTTGCTCCTCCTGAGTTCCTGAGTTCAATTCCCAACAACCACACGGTGGCTCACAACCATCTATAGAGATCTGGTGCCTTCTGTGGTTCAGGTGTACATGCAGACAAAACATTGTATACATAATAAATCTTTAAAAAAGAAAATGGGGTTTTAAAAGACTCACTTTCCAGTAATTACTGAAACTATAAAGTAACCTGGAGTACATTTACCTTGCAGATCTACATGGTTATTTTTTGGTGCACATGATTTCATGTACTCTAGAAAACATTTCAATTTTAGCATTAATGCTAGCCTTTTGCGTTTTGTCTGTTTATTTTGAACGTGGCATTATAGACTCCTTTCTTCCTCCTTTATCTGCATTTTCAGTTACAACAACAACAACAACAAAAGATTACCTTTAGCATCATGACTTCCAAGTGGTGCAGTACACCAGCAAAAGCAGGGTTGCATTGGAAAGAATCTTCATGGTCTTCAATGAATGAACTATTTTACAAATACACCAAGAAAATGGAGTCATACTGCAATCCCTCAAAGACTGAAAAATAGCAAAACAAGGTGAAGTCATTTCTTCTGTCACATGTAGTCTGTCTCATTTTCTCCTGACCTTTTTAATTCCTTATGTTCCTTTCAGCTCCCAAATCAATGGCATGTTCCTATTAAATAATTGGGTACATGGTATTAAGGATTATGTTCTGCACACATCTTACAGCATCAATTCTGGAAGCAAGCATTTTCTTTTTTAACCAAATCTCAACATTGGCCGGTTAGTGTCTCCCAACTTGTGGCAACTCATAGGCCTACATAAATATCCTTTGGTGAATTTGTGATTAAACTCAAAAATGCAAAGCCCTTTAGAAAAATATGGCACACACACACACACACAAAAATAAATTCAGCAAGTACTTGCCAGTTCAATTTTCTATTATTTAAATCACTGGGGAGAAATTGTGTCTTTCCAACAGACTTCTTGCCCTGAATAGCCTTCTTTGTTTTCTAGGTGAGTATTTCTTTCCTTATAGCCTGCTAAATTACCACATTTTCCCTTTGAATAGAGGTAAAAATGAGGGAAGGAAGGGCCTATGGAATGACAATCAACTGCTTGTAAGGTGAAATGGGATTCCCTTTTTTATGCTTTAGCAACAAACCTGATACCCAGGACATTCCCCATTGCCAATGTTATTCACTGACTTGCTCAAATATCTATTGCTCTTATGCTATGTAACAGCCCCTGTGCCTAGGTCATCTGTCCTCCACATCCCCTTGTGCAAGGCTTAACCACAGTAATGATTCCATAAATGGCTCACGGTATGAGAAGAAGGGATTATGAGACTTGAGTCAAACTTGTTTTTTTGTTTTTTGTTTTTTTTTTTTGTTTGTTTTTTGTTTTTTTTTTTTTTTACATTCTAAAAGGCTCATTTGAACTGGCTATTGGTTTCCTGAAGGGAAGAATTAGTCTTAAAACACAAACACTACTTATTTGGAAATCTCCTACGCTATTCATTCTTCAAGAATAAACTGCTAAACAAAACAGTCAAGGCCTACAACCCTAATCTCACTTCTTTCACAGATTTAGAATTCCAGACAAGCTGCCCCAGCACAACCCTGCCCTCTGGCTTTCCTTCTGGAAAACATTAGGCTTAAAAAGCATTGCATCCCAGCTGTCACTCACCCTTTAAGGCCCACCCAAAGTTCCCCTTTCCTCTTTGATGGCTCTTGATCACTAACAGGCATTGACTTGGTCCATCCTCCATGGTTCCTGAATACCTTGAACAAGCACATTTTTATGGTACGTGGGTTTGACCATCATATTATAACTTTTGTTTTCGCTTATTAAATCCCATCTTACAAAGAAAAAAAAAAAAACTAATTCTCAGAGCTCACCTGTCAATCTCCTCTGGGCACAGGCATTAGGCCTTGAGTACATCCTTTCTTTTGGTCTTGAACTAAGCATTTTTTAATGGAAAAAATTTCCAATATACACAAAAATAAAGAGTATAGTAAAGCCCCACCAAGTTTTAACTTATCAGGCAGTGAACATTTTCTTAGTATCTCCCTACACCTTGGCCCCTCCACGAAAATCAAAATACTGCAGCTTATTTTTAAAATTACAATTATCTAATGGAAAATATCTTAATTAATCAGTGCACTCAAACACCCATTTCATCCAAGCATACTTTGTAAAAGGGCTTTTCAACCCCTGTTCGTTGTTGTTTCTTTTTCTTTTTTAATTTGTGGAAAGAACAGGAAACAGGGAAAGAACTGGGGGAAAGCATAATTAAGTTTCAGAGAGCGTGGATGTCCCAGATGAGAAAGAAAGAATCTGACCTGATTTTGGCTGGGGAAAAAAAAAATCTATTTCACTACTTCTCCGGAGGAGGAGGGTGAGACTTCAGTCCAGCAGATGCAGGAGGAGGCGCCGCCGAGGGGAGAGTGGTACTACCTCCACTGGGAGTCCCTTCTGGATAATCCCACCGCGGAGCCAGGAGACAGCGCTTTTTTGGAGGCTTGGGTTCCCGCGTATTTCCTGGAGGGAGCGTGGATCTCCCGGAGGCATAAGGTTGGTCCCCCATAGGTATGACAGGACCAGAGCCTCAGTTTTCTCTGGTGGGCCCTGGCAAGGCCGAGAGATGTGAGATGGCGGATCCCCTCTAGGCACGGGGCTGGCTTCCTCCTGGTTTCGCTGTTACCGTATTTCCTGTATCCTGAGACGTATATCCCTTCTCCGCCTCCGCAGCGCTCCGTTCCCCAGCCCATTTTAACCTTTCTACGAGAATGGACTGCAGAAAAAAAGAAGTGCACATTTAATAAAACGCTTTTTCATAGCACGTCTCTCTTGCAGGTTAATTAGCTGAATGGAGAGTTTTATACAATTTAATTTTGAAAATAACAATTTGCCTGTGTAACTTGCCAGCTGGGCATGTCTTAATGAATGGGTGTGTGGGATGGTCAACGGGGTGTTGTAACCAAAGAATTAAGCGTTTTACAGTGCAGTCACGTAAGCACATCACAGAGCTATGAAAGCGGGTACAACCATCTAAAAAGCTGTATACAAACATGTTAACTGTTAAATTGCAAGCTGTGGAAAATGGATGCACAGAAAATTGATCATGTGTCATACAAACCAAGGACACTGTGTTTACTTCATAGTTTTAAATTTTTGTCATCTTTGAACACTGACTGCAATTTTTTTTCTCATTCCAACATCCAAGATCTCTCTGAAAACAGATGTTGTACCAAGTTCGTGAGACACCAAAAGACCACCCACCATATCAGGAGTCAGAAATCAAATCGTCTGCAAAAGCAAAGAGCTTTTATTTCGGGGTTAACTTCGGACTCCCAGCATGAACTGACAGAAGCCCGAAGCCAGGAGCCCCTAGCCTAGAAAGAAGCTGATTTTCATAGGGTTTTCAGTAAGGGGAAGGGACTTCCAGACTTGGTGGCACATGATTGGATGAGATTTAGCAAGAGCAGGCTTTTTACAGTGATTGGCTAAAGGCAAGTTGGAGTAACTATTTTGGCAACCACAAGGAAAACAATTGTTTTAACAACCACAAGGACAACAGTCATTTGGACCTGTATCCTGATTGACTGGTGTCAAGGTGGGCACACTGTGTCTTCTGTAATGTTATGGTTTCCCTCAAGTACAAACATGTTTTTCAGGTTCTGGGGGTGAGAGCTAGGTCAATTACAAGATGGAGGCTATTATCAAAATGGAGTTTGTTGTGCTCAGATTCTTCTCCGTTCTTATTTGGCAAGATTTTATTTCTTTCTTGGGGCTATGGAAAACAATGACTCATCTTACTGTTGTGGTATGTTATATTCTATGTTATATAATAAGGAACCAGAAACAGAAAGCAGAAGGTGTTAAAAAACTGAGAAAAGGCTTCTGAATTTCTTTGATAGGCATCACTAAATAACCTTAATATCTATGCTACTTTGCCTGTTCACAAACTAAAGCATGCTTTTCCACTACTGTCCTCATTGTTTTCTAATGGAGAAATGTCAATCCATACTGTCACTAGAACTCTCTTCACAATCTGTACCGTTTACAAGCTCTGTAATATTTAATTCATTAAATTATTGGAATTTTGTTTTCCAGCTATGATAATTTATGCACAAAATTATACCATATTAAGGATAATCCATTTAAGTTAAAAAAATTAAAATCGAATCACATCATTTCCTACCTCTAATATGCCCCCAATTAAGCCCTATAACTATAGATAGTCATATCAATTAATACCAGAAATCAATTAAAACCAGAAATCTTAATGAAAAAAAGTGAGGGGATATTAAGAGAGAGAATGCTTTAGAACCAGAAGAACATTTAAACCTAAACATAATAATATAAGAGTCAACATCATAAAAGTTGAAGTTATGAGTGCTACCCCAAGAAAAAAATATAGGGAAAATAGAACTGGCTGAAAATGGAATTTTGGTAGATAATGGCAGATGGAAGAAGAGCTGCTGCAGAGATTGAGGAGAAGTGAGCAAAATCAGAAGTCTCTGGCTTAAGGTATTTGAAACTTGATGCTGTTGACCTTTAAGAGTAGATCATTTTTTATGATGATGACCTGTCAGTACACTCTAGGATGTTTAGTAATATTCTAATCTGTGGTCTACCAGTTGCACTTCCTACACCTCACTTATGATAACCAAAATACACATGACATTGCCAAAGGTCTTCTGGGTAGCTGATATGACCCAGTGAGAATAATTAATCTGTGCCTTAACTTCTACATTTGCATTTCAGTGTTAGTCCTCCACTCAGCTGTACACTGCAGCTGTTATATTGTTCAAATTAAAGACCATGTCATTTATCAATATAATTAATGTTTTCATAACCCTTTTACACACAGTTTTATTACAAATATGCAAGATCAAATATGTCAGAGTTAAGCTGTTTTAAAGCTATAGTTTTAGCAAGTTTAGAGAAATGGGTGATTGTTTTGGTAATATAACAAGAATGAAAATTTATAGCAAATTCAGGAAGGTTTGATTTATCATAAATTTGACTTGAGGTGATAAAGTCACATTAGACTGCTATCATAACTCTGGACTATTTGTACTACAACTAGATTTGTTTTGAGTTTTTCCTTTCTTTTTGAGACAGGGTCTCAGTAAAGCTTGGAAGATGACCTCGAAGTCTTAGTCTCTTGCCTGCATCTCTCAAGTACTGGTATTACAGGTATTTGCCACCATTCCTGGTTTATGCATTGCCTAAGATGGAACCCTGGGTCTGTTGAACTGCACTCCCAGCCCGTTTCTTGTTTCTGATTGTGGTAAAAAGCATACTCTATAATTTTCATTATCTTAACCATTTCTCTTTTTCCCATTAATGAATTTATTTATTCACTTTATACCCTGATCACAGCCCCCCATTCCTCTCTTCCCAGTCTCACACTCATGTCCTCCTTCCCCATTGCCCCCTCTCCTTAGCTGAGAAGCAGAGGTCCCCATGGATATCAACCAACCCTGGCATCTCAAGTCACAGCAGGACTAAGTTAAATGTACCTTCTCCCACTGAGGCCAGACAAGCTATGGGGAAAGGATCCAGAGGCAGGCAAGAGTCAGAAACAGCCCCTACTCTCATTATTAGGGGACGCATATGATGACCACCTTGCACATTTACTACATATGTGTAGGGGATCTAGACCCAGTCCATGCATGCTCTTTGGTTGGTGGCTCAGTCTCTCTGAGCTCCCATGGGCCCAGGTTAGTTTCCTCTGTAGGTTTTCTTGTGGTGTCCTTGACCCCTGCAGTTGGCTCCCTCAATCCTTCCTCCCACTCTTCCACACAACTCCCTGAGCTCCACCTATTGTTTGGCTGTGAGTCTCTGCATCTGTTTCCATCAGCTGCTGGATGGAGCCTCTCAGAAGACAGTTCTGCTAAGCTCCTGTCTGAAAGCATAACAGACTGTCATTAATAGGGTAAGGGATTGGCTCTGTCCCATGGGGTGGGTCTCAATTTAGGCCAGTCATTGTTTTGCAGTCCCTCATTCTTTTCATCCCTGAACACCCTGTAGGGAAGACCCAGGTCTTCCGTTTGTCTCAGAGATACCCCTCAATGATTTCTTTTCTCTCCCAGCCTCCTCCCTCCTCCTCTCGCCATATCTGATCCCCACCCAGATACCTCCATACATGCACTTCCCATGTCTACTTTATTTCCCCTTCTCAATGAAATTCATCCTCCCTTGGGCCCTCCTTATTTCTTAGCTTCTTTGGGTCTGTGGATTGTAACATGGTTATCCAGTACTTTATGGCTAATATCCACTTAAAAGTTAATACATAGCATGTATGTCTTTCTGGGTCTAGGTTATGTCCCTCAGATGATCTTTTCTAGTTCCATCCATTTGAATACAAATTTCATGATGCCCTTGTTTTTAAGAGTCGAATAGTATTCTATTGTGTAAATGTACCACTTTCTTTATCCATTCTTTGGTTGAGGGACATCTGGGTTCTTTCCAGTTTTTGGCTATTACAAATAAAGTTGCTACGAACATAGTTGAGCAAATGTCCTTGTGGTGTGGTGGAACATCTTTTGAGTATTTCCAGGAGTGGTATAGCTGGATCTTAAGGTAGAACTAATCCCAATTTTCTGAGAAACCTATATATTGATTTCCAGAGTGGTTGTACAAGTTTACACTCACACCAGCAGTGGCAAAGTGTTCCTCTTGCTCCACATCTTGCCAGCATGTGTTGTCACCTAAGTTTTTAATTGTAGCCATTGTGATGGATGTAAGATAGAATCTGAGTCAACTTGATTGACATTTCCCTGATGACTAAAGATGTTGAACATTTCTTTAAGTGCTTCTTAGCAATTAGAGATTCCTCTGTTGAGAATTCTGTTTAGATCTGTACCCCATTTTTCTTATTTATCTATCTATCTATCTATCTATCTATCTATCTATCTATCTATCTATCTATCTATCTATTTAATGGCTTCATTGTCTGATCACAGACCTCTCCCTCCTTTTCTGTCAGTCTGATCCTCACTCCCTTTCCTCCCATTTCCCCCCTCTCTTTCTTCTCAGAGAAGGGGAGGCCTCCCCTAGGTACCAACCTACCTTAGCATCTCAAGTCTCAGCAGGAATAAGTGTACTCTCTCCCACTGAGGCCAAACAAGTCAGTCCAGCTAGGGGAAAGCAAACCAAAGGCAGGAACAGAGTCAGAGACAGCGCCTACCCCCACACGATGACAAAACTGCACATTTGCTACATATGTGTAGGGTGTCTAGATCCAGTCCATGCATGTTCTTTGGTTGGTGGCTCAGTCTCTCTGAGCCTCCATGGGCCCTGATTAGTTTACTCTGTATCTCTTCTTGTGATGTCCTTGACAACCTCCCCCTCCCATCCCTCAATCCTTCCTCCTACTCTTCCACAGAATTTCCTGAACTCTACCTATTGTTTGGCTGTGAGTCTCTGCATATGTTTCCATCAGCTGCTGGATAAAGCTTCTCAGAAAACAGGTCTGCTAGGCTCCAATCTGAAAGCATAGCAGACTATCATTAATAGGGTAAGGGGTTGGCTCTCTCCCATGGGGTGGGTCTCAATTTGGGCCAGTCATTGCTTTGCTACTCATTCTCTGCTTCATCTTTATCCCTGAGTATCTTGTAGGCAAGACAAATTTTAGGTAGAAGGTTTTATGACTGGTGTCTTCTTTCCTCCACTGGGAGTCCTACCTGGCTACATGAGCTGGCCACTTCT